TATATATATATATTGTGCGTGATGTCATTCAGATGGTACCTTAATTTATTAGCCTTGGCTTACTATTATTTGTGCAATAGATAACTTCATGGAATAGCAGTGTTTTGAATCAAATACCTGTCTTCCCACTGTAATTAACACCAGTTTAGTTTAATAAAATGTGCTTCCAGTGTCAATAAAAGGTTACACGTACTTAATCTGTTAAACCAGGATTTGTTGCTGTTTTTTGAAGCAGACACTTGCTTCTTATGAGCAATTTTCTTTTTTTTACTGTTGACACACTACTGCCTTTCCAATGAACACAGGAAGGAGAAAGATGACATAAGGCTATTGGCCTTAGCCAATAAATTTTCAAACGTCAATAATAGATTATTTGGTTCCAAAACTCCTTAGATGAATGTATTCTTGTAGACATAACCTTGTATTTTCAAAATCACAGTATGTTTTCAGGCGGTGTCTAAAAACATTTACTTCTATATGGCACAGACAGGAAATTTGGCTTTCATGGGAAAAAGCAGGTAAGAAAGCAGGTAAAATCACTGTGGACAAACTGCACTCGGCACATGTATGTGTGCCTGACAAACCTCTTCCAACTTGGCATGGCAAACGTAAGCCCAGCCTAATCTCATCTGTAACATGTTGCAGATGTTACTGCAGTGTAATTAGCTGTGTTGATTAGCTTCTTGACTTGTCTGTCCTCAGGAAAGTACAGTTTTGTTCACTATGTACCTTCCTGTACACCCATTCTTTTCTTTCTTCTTCTTTTTTTCTCTGTGGTTGTCCTGCCTCCAGAAGACATCGTGTGACAGGCCAAGCTCAGATGGGGAAGCAACCCATGAGAACGGTCACAGCGACTGCAAGGACCAAGGTGAGAGTCACAACGACAGTTGCTACCAGAAATGAATCATTTTCATCCATTTTAGTTTGTGCTTAAAACAAAAAGGTCTGAACAATCTCTGTGTTATGAGTAACAACAACTACAACAACTGCAATTCTGGATCTCTGGTCAAGGTGAATGAAGACCAGTAGTTGCCCTTTATGGTGCCAAACAGAAAGTATCTTTTCATCTGTATGCCATAGATTAAATAAAATCAGCTTTGAGCTTGCATGTCAACAGATCCATGACAGATGAACAATCTAATGAAGACTGTGTGATTGAGCTAAAAGCTTGTTTTCATAGTGCCATTCCGATCACATTGCATTCACATAGTACCTTTAATCATAGCCCCATGGCACAGTACAACATCAATAATAAAATTCAGTGAGGGACAGGAGTTATTAAAACTGGTGTTTCTTGGAACCGTAAAGAATTGTTCTCAGGCTGAATGGCTGTCTTTCTCACGTAATCTCCCTCATAATTCAGAGAGGAATCTCCGCAAGCTGTGGAAAGGTCAGCCTTTATTGAAGGCTGAAGAATGAGCATTTGGATTTATTTAACATGCTTTTACATGGGGATGGTCTTTCCTCACTCAACTAAAAGCCAAAACAAAGAGATACTGTTGAAATATTCTCAGATTATTTACTGTGTGTTTTCTCAGCTGGCAAAATTCTTCTGGGAGAGAAAACTCATTTTACTTGTCAGCTCAGTTATTTGGATTGTCAACTAAAATTTAACACTCTTATTTTTTTGCTCTGTTTAGATTGGTGAATTTTTCCAGAATTGTATCTGAAACAAATTTCCCACCAGCAGTTGATTTAAAGTCTAACAACCAATTGGGTTTCGAGATTTGAAAACATTTGGTTGTGCAAGACATTTTTCTGTGTTGCTTCCATGAAATTATGAGATCTGGGGTAATATCCAAGATGTGTACTGAAAAAAGAGTGCATCTTTGAACAATAAGGTACGCTTTGTGGTGGTTAGAATTAATTGGATCCCAAAGACCTACATGCTGTTACTGACTCTGTGATAATTTGCTATATAGTAAACATTAGCATTCCATTAATAATAATAAAAAGATCTCTCTCTCTCTCTCTGTCTGACTGTTTTAGCACAGCTTTTCCTTTGCTGCACTACATTTACTCAAATTTAGAATATAGGTCCTCAGCCCTGCTTATAAATAAGTTGCTATTATTTCAACCTGGTCCTGTGATCTCCTTTCCTGGTGAGTTTATGAACTCAGTCACTTAATTTGGGTCAGATTGAAAACAGCATTTATTTGATCAATCTGGTCATTGTAAGAGCCATAAAGGGGCATTATTCATTATACGGTCATTGGTTAATGACCTATGATTGAAAAATTGCTAGTAAAAATTAGCATGTGGCATCAGGGTCAGATCAACGCCTCATTCTGGTTTCAAAACACCACGATGGTGTCATGGTAGATTTGTCTTTCACGCTGTCCACGATACTAACCAAGAAAGAGGGAAGAAAAATGAATCCACTTCCACTCCAACAGTAGTAAAGTGCATAACATAGTTTTAGAACCAACATTGTGAGAAAATAATTCAGCGACTACCAATGTTCCTCTAATTTTTCACGTGTCTGAGCGAACACACAAACTCCCTGAGCAACATCAGACGTGTGCACTGTGGTCACGCCAGCATCGAATCCATCCAAGTTACATGGTTTATTAAAATAATCAAATTACAGCATTTACATTTATGTTAGACTACTTTTAAACTGCTTCAGCCCATTTACAATGAAAATGTAAAAAAAAAATCTAGCCATTGGCCTGTGTAGTATGTTAACACTATTGGAAGTAAAAATGACTTGAACTCCAATTTCGAAAAAAAAAAGCTCTGACTTGTATTATGAGTCTGTGGTCTGGGAGAGAGTCCTGTAACACTCTGTCTGCAAAATACAGGATATAATGACCAATGCTGGGCAAATAATTATATAGTTACTTCTTCAAAAAAGTAACTCAGTTTGGCAAACAAAGTTTTTTGCAGCTATTTTTTTTAAATGCAGCCGAGGCATTTTTAAATAAACATTTCAAACTATTTACAGAACAATCAGCTGTTCTGCATCAAATTTGATGCCACACAAATTATTTGTGCCACTCCAAAAAATAATTTCTGTCCACTATGAGATAAAGGAGAACAACAGCCTGATACCTGCAGGCCTGACAACAGGAGATGTATCACTCCCAGAGGTGTGGACTCG